CTCCTTCCAGGCGACCCCCACCCCCCTCTGTAGATCCCACCCCTGACCTAGGCCCTCATTTGGACATGTAGTTGGCCAGGCCTCACTTGCTGACCCAACTCCAGGTCCCAGCCCAGGCCCTTCCAAGCTCCATTCCCTACCCATTTCATTCCCTGCCCAGCCCTCACTTGGACACATAGATGCCCAGGCCAAACTCCTTGCCCCCACGGATGTTGAAGCCCAGGCAGAAGTCGTCAGAGGTCGTGTAGAGGTGAACGATGCGCCGAACGCTGTCCTCTGAACTGCTGTCGGACGGCGTCGAATTGCCCTTCTCCACCACCAGCCGCCGATTAACCACGTCCACCCTGGGGCAGGGACAAGGGGCCCTCAGCCTGGACCGCCATCTGCTACTATCCACTCCCCTCCTCCCAGCAGCCCCCACAACTGCATGGGAACAGTGGGGGACTTTGGGGGACTTCCCAGGCCTGAAATCTTCAGTGGGACATAAATTAATCAAATCTGGGAAACCATCCTAATCTCCTCTTTTTATTGAGCAGCTGCAATTTGCCAGGCCCATCTCGAATCCTCACAGGCTTTAAAGGGAGAGGTGCTGTTACTATCCCAGACTCAGAGCAGCAGCAGCAGCAGCAGCAGGAGGAGGAGTGTAGAGGGCAGGGCTACTGGGGCCTGGGACAGCAGAGCCGTGGAGAGGAGGGCTGGGAGACAGATGTGGCCTTTTCTCATTTCAAGGTCAGGACTTAGGATCCTTTATTTCCCGCCCCAGGAGTTGGGAGGAACAGAAGTCATACTAGCCAGGCCCATACAGAGCCATATGCCCTCAGCTTCTCCTGCTACGGCTTTAGGTGGGAGTGCTATGCGGCAGGCGGGGCAGGTCTTCTCACCATGTGGTCTTCTCCTTGGAGAATTTGATGCCTGGCACACGGCCCATGCGCCTGACCATCATGTGCAGGCGGCTGCTGCCTGTCAGGACCTTCACGGCACTGCCCATTGTGGTGCTCTCCAGGCTCAGCCCGTTCACCTCCGTGATCTTGTCCCCCACACACAGGCCAGCCCGCTCTACATCAGGGGAGAGTGGTGGCTGGCATCGGTCCCTTGGGAGAAGTTCCCCAGCCTGAGGCTGAGCCCCCATCAGACCAGGCTCCTTGTGGTAAAACTTATTCCCTGAGATTGGGGATCCCCAGGTAGGGTCTGAATGTCCGCTTTTAGACTAGAGATCTGTCCAGTAGCCCACTCTGCCCTGGGAGTGGGCGCCATCTCCCCATCAGATCAGGCCCTCCAAAGCTGAAGGCCCTTTCTCCCATCCTGAAAACAGCATCTTTGTACTCCACTGAGACGGGGTCACATACATCCCCCAGGACCTTGTCCCTGGGGACCCTGCTCACCTGCACTGCTCCCCTCCTCCACCTTGCTGACGAAGATGCCCAGGCCGTGCTCAGAGCCGCCCCGCACACTGAAACCCAGCCTCCCCGCTGGGCTCTTCTCCACCCGGACTGCGTGGATGATGTCACTCTCATCACTGTTGGCTGAAGAAATGGAGACACAAGCATGACTCCCATGCCCATTCTGGGCACAGTGGACCACTGAGTTTCTCAACTTGGGGTCTAAAAAGGCTGGGTTGCTGGACGCAGGCACCCAGGGACCTAAGCAAGGGGGCCAGCTAGTTCTTTGAGTTCCCTCTGGATGATTTTGAGACTATGGGCCAGGAAGGGTGTGAGAGCAGTCGGGACAGGACTCCATGCCAGAGGACACTGTGCGCCATCCTCATAATATAAATGTGTGTGTGTGCGCGTGTGCGTGTGTGTGTCTAATGTTTACTAAGCTTCCCATGCCCGGGATAGGCCAAATACCTAAAAATCCTGGTACTCTGAGGGACAGATGGATAGAAAAGAGGTTCAAGACCCCATTCTATGGAGTGTGGTTGAGGGAGTTTGGGCTCTTCGGCTTGCAGGGGAAATGAGTATGTTAGCTTTATCTTCAAATAGTTGAAGAGCTATTCTGTGAAAGGTATTAGATATTTTTGACTGTGCAACCCTGAGGGCAGAACCAAGCCCACATAGTAGAGTTATTTGGAGGCCAACTTAGCAAGGGAAAACTTTCTAAAAACTTCAGCTGTCAGACAATGGAATGAGCTTTCCAGGAGGGAGAGTGAGTTCCTCATCTTTGGAGGCACACAAGCTGACACTGGGTAAATCCTTGTTAAGGATGTTGTGGAAGGATCCCTGAGGCGCCTTCTATCTCTTAGACTCTGTGATTCTGGAGGTAAGGGCTACCTGACTATATGAAGAGAGAAACTCAAATCAACACCATGTTGCAGTATGTGCCCAGAGCCCAGAGTGGTCCTCTCCATCATCGCTGGGGAAAATAAAGAGGAGGGAGGCCCATAGGGGCTGGAGCTGTCAGGAAAGGTTTCTTGGAGGATTAAGATGGGTAGGATTGGATGGGTGGAGGGGAAAGGGAGGACACTGATGAAGGAATGGAGTGAGCAAAAGCTCAGGTGGATCCTTGACAAGGTCTTTTGGTTGGAGAAAGGTGAGAAGACTGGAGGGGTAAGTTGGTTCCCAGGTGAGAAGGTGAGATTTCTTCTTGGGCAAGGCTTACTCCAGAAGAAATCTCACACACACACACACACACACACACACACACACACACACACACACACACACACTTCTATCTGACTAAGAGAAATCGGGTTACAGTGCATGACCGGGGAAGCTCAGACAGAAATCCCCAAAGGCAGGCTGTGAGCAGCGATGGTACGGAACAGAGACATGGAGATCCTGGGGCGTCCTAGCCGATTCTATCTGCACAGGTTTTTGGACCTTTTCAGCCCAGCCAAGGAGCTTTTTGCTCTCTCATCCCCCAACCCTCTTTCTCCTCAGTCCATCCCTGGAGCCAAAGGGATGCCATATCTGGGAGTTTGAGCCTAAGAGCTTGGGGCATCTAAAGCTGGAACATTTCTACCTGCACTGCCCTAGCCCTAGCCCAGGCGACCGACCTCTCCCTCCAGGCACTACGCAGCCTCCTCACTCTCTCCCCACTTTTGCTCTTGCCTTCTTTAATATATTCTCTATGCAGTGGTCAGAGTTAGCTTTTGTAATAGACCATGCCTTTCCCCTGATTAAAACCTTTAATGCCTGCCCTTGCTCCTAGAAGGAATGCCACACTCCTCCCATGCCCAGTAAGGTCCTCCACAGGCTTTTTTCTGCCCACCTCTCTTCTCTCATCTCTGGGCACCCTCCCTGGCCTCCCTGACCTCCTTCCTGTTCCTCTTACAGGCCAATGCTTTCAGTGTTTCCTCTTCCTGTGATACTCTTGCCCAGCCCTTCATAAAGCCAGCTCCTATTCCTCAGGCTTTCCTGGCTCAGATACCACTTAATCAGAGAAGCCTTGATGGACTACCCTACCTAAGAAAGTTCTTTCTCTCTTCCCAGGTAGTCTCTATTAAAAGTGGTTCTTAAAGCATGCTTCCCAGACCAGCAGCAGCAGCAGCACCTGGGATCTTATTAAAAATGCAAATTCTCAAGCTTTACTTCAGACTCACTGAATCAGAAGCTCTAGGTGTAGGACCCAGCAATCTGTCTTTTAACAAGACCCTGCCCCCATCCCAGGCAATTCTGATGTATTCTAAAGTTTAAGAAACACTACTCCTGCATAATATCTGATTTAGTACCTTCAAGAATCTTACTATCCTTTCTCATTATTTGCTTATTTGTATATTATTTATTTTCTGTCTGCTTTCACTAGGTTGTAAACTCGACCATGGTAGAGACTTTGTAATTCTTTTCCACCATTTTTTCCCCAAGTATGCTGCTCATTCCTTGGTATTTGCTAAGTATTTCTTGAATAAAGGAAAGAATAAAAGGATGAATGAATGAATAACTGAATGTGCTAGGAGAATAAGGAGAAAGGGCTGGTTTGGATTAAAGATGATGCATTTTCTCTGGGATCAGCAGGGTTTGAGAGGCTGGTGGGACCTCATGGGGGTGATGTGTCTCCCTTATCAGTTACTCGTGGCCCCTGAGTGGTCTAAGTAATAACACAGGTGAGGGGGGCCAGGCTGTGGAGAGTTGGGAGATACTTGTGCTCAGGCAGGGGGAGGATTCTGATCTCAGAGGCTTCCAGGCCAGACAGGCTGGGGGCCAGCTTGTCAGAACAGGGCCCCTCGGGCATGCTAAGTCTGGTATGTGAGGGGGTGTGCGCAGTGTGTGAGGGAGGTATAGCGCAATATCACTCACGAGGGCAGTGCTGCAGTTCCCCCCTTCCCCCTCCATGTCTCACTGCTCCTCTGAGGACTTCTGTTCCATGACCACCTGACAGTGGTCACTCTCAGCAGTGCTCTGCTGCTTACCTGAGAGGGAGGCCGAGTGTGTGGAGGATGAGGGGTGAGTGTGCTGGACCCCTGGTGGAGAAAAGCCCGCTCCCTGAGCAACATGCTCCATCTCTACCCTAGAGGGCTGGGCAGAGGAGTAGAGATGCCCAACTGAGTTAAAGGGAAGAAACAGGGTGTGAAAAAGCCCAGTCTGGGATTTGGCCAAGGGAGCTCTGCTGGCCGAGAGACAGGAGCGGAGCTAGAGATGTTTATCTGATCCTGCCCACAGAAAGCTCAGGCCCAGGGGGCCCCCACTTTCCCACCACCATTCAAGGTCCTGCTTTACTCACTTACTCTTTGTCGCCTCACATCTGTCAATGCAGCCAGGCTGTCTCCTAAGTGCCTGCCCCATCGTGTTCCATGCTTTCCACTTCCATCCTTTGTCTGTGATACCTCCGCCAGCTGCTCTTAATGCTATCTCTAAGCCCTGCTACACCGTAAATTTCTGAAGGTAAAGATTGAGCTTTATTTCTCTCTAGGACCCCTGCATAACCTAACCAGGGCTGGTACAGAATCTGTGTGCAATGAAACAGCATTAAGCATCAAAATAAGCTTCGGTCTCCCCCTCCTTCAGGAGCCGTGGGGCTCCCTCCCAGACCCTCCATCCTCCTCTTTTCCCCCCTCTTCTAAATATTTGCTCTACCTTTATTACCTATCTCCTTCAGGTGAAGCCTTTCATTCTGTCTGCCCACCTGGTCACTGACTCTTACAGCTCAGCACAGAGCTGGTCACTCAATAGGCTGGTTGATGGAGGATGTCCTCTATCCTGCCCACCCCCCAAAGGCCTACACAAATGAGTTTGGAGAAAGGTAGAGTCCGTGGGATGAAAAAGCCAATTTATTCCCCTGCCTAGCTCACTTGGGGGCTAGCATACCACACACACACACACGCACACAATTTTCCTTGCCACCATGCCCCTATCCCACCTCTGACCTCTCTACAATCCTGGAACCCTAAAAGATTGGCCTAAAGGAGAGAAAAAGATAGATAAGAGTGTATGGGTTCCCAGAGAGCCCTGCCCACCCCCTCCCTAAGACGCCCATCTCTAGAGTTCCCCTGCCCATATTGCCTCTACCTTCTTCTGCCTAGTGCCATATGTCCCCTTCCCCCACCCCGCACTCCCAGCTGGCGGCTGGGCCTTGCCTGCACCTTCGATGGGGGAGTTGATGAGGATGACTCGGCCCATGGGCGACGAGGCTCGGATTCCGCGGGGGGGCCCATTCAGCAGCCGCTGTTGCTTTCTCAGCAGGTATCGCATTGCGGAGCCAGAATCGCTGCCCAGATGGCCTCGGGAGGAGAGGGAGCTCAGAGAGCCCGAGCTTAGGTCTCTGAGGCCCAGTGGGTCGAAGCCCACTGAGAAACCGTGTGCCATGGCGGCTAGACTACAGGTTTAGAAGCAACCTGCTAGTCCTCAGGAGGAGGGCTCCGCGAGCTTGGGGCTCCATGAGCCTTCTGAACAGGACTGCGGTCACAGTGACCAGGATCCCCCACCTCTGCTGCCTCTCCAGAGAGTGAGCTCCAGGCCTGCGCAGGAAGAGTGGGGGAGGGGTTGAGAGTTGAGAGAGGGGTTTGAATGCTGCCCTTAGAATTTCCACCCCTCTCTGTGGTTTGAGCATCCTGCCCTCCCATGCCTTAGACTCCTAACCTCTCCCACCCCTGGCCAGAGAACTGCCCAGTCCAGGCACCATCGTGGACTTCTAGAGCCATTTCTACAAGGCGAGTAGGAATCTCTGCAAGCTCCCCATTTTATGGGTGAGGAAACCGAGTGCCGTGAGAGCGTGTGCTTCGAGAGCCATTCCTACAAGGCGAGTAGGAACCTCTCTTGCATCCCTTTTTCCTGCTCTCAGCTGAGTCATCTGTTCAGTTCCCAGTCCTCAGTAAAGGTTGAGACAGTAAAGATAGGATTATTGCGCACCCTGGGTTTTCAAGTAGTGTGAAAGAAATTGAGACCAGGAGAGTTTACTGCACACCTCTCCTGTGTGGGTGGGTAGGGGGCCAGCCCCTGGTGCTCAGGCCTGGAGGGCAGGGCTTCAGGACCTGGGACAGCTGCAGCCAAACACCCCAGAGATTTCCCCAGCTCCCAGAGATCCCCAGCCCCTAGGCTGCTGTCCCCTCCGTCTCTCCCCGACACCCGTCTAGAGAGGTTGCGTGAACCTCTCCCAGGCTTGGTGGGAGGACCTGCTGGCAAGAGCACCACAACATCCCGCGCAAACCTGGGGCCAAATCCTAGTCTCCAGAACACAGCACCCTAGTCCCCACTTGGACCTCCTGGCCTCCCGTCTCTCGAGCTGGGCTCCCAGCCCCCTCACCTGCTCTTGTATGCGGCCACCTCCGGCCTCGCCCGCCGGTGGGCGCGAGCGACTGCAGCAGTGAGGAAACCCCGCCCACGCCTCATCGAGGTGGCAGGATCCCGGCTGGCCTGCGCAGCCCCGCGCTCCCATTGGTTGAGAGGGCCGCCAGTCACTCCCTCCCGCCACTTCCTTTGGGCGCCCAGAACAGCCATTTGTCACCTGGGCTGGGCCGCTGGATTCTAACCGCTCCGATTCTAGTGCTGGTGCCCCACCCCAACTGCGAACTTGGGGGCGCGGATCTCGGCTTGACGCCCTCCCACTACCGGTTCAGCTCAGGGGAACCCAGAACAGCGTCTTCTCCAGGCCAAGCCAGCTACCAGAGCTCATGAAATTGCCACCCCTCAGCGGTCACCCCCGATGCCTCAGTGAGGGAAAGTCACCTGGTCAGAGCAGGATGTGAGCCTGCGGTACTCAGGAGTGGGCTGGCACCTGGGTGTGTGGCAGGCGTGCTCTGTACTGTGACTGGGTGCGTTGTGAGTGTGTGTGTGGCTGAGTGCTGCCTTCTTCATAGGCATCCTCTTCCTATGTCAGACAGCCTCTCTCTGGCCAACCAGTTATGGAAAGGTCGCAGAGAGCAGCAGCTGATCCCAAGACACTAGGTAGAGGAAGAATCTTTTTGATCCACTTGCTTGATGCAGAAAGAGCTACCTTGAGCCTTCTGCTCCTTCACATCCGAGGGCAGGGACTGGGGCTAAGGTCTGTGTGCAGAGGTAGAGATTGGGAGCATAAGGAAACTGGGGACCCAGTGGAGATAAGGGTTACAGGGGGGAATAAAAAGGGAGCTGAGGACATCGAAGGGGCACAGGCACGAGAGGCAAGGGGCTATGGAGGAGCGTGAATACGAGGTACTGCGAGGGGAATGAGCTGGTGGGAAGTGGGGTAGGAGCCCAGGAGGCCAAGAAGGCAGAAGCCACTGTCAAGGCAGCCATCAAGTAAACAAGCCGGGCGGTAACCCGAGTCCCTCCGAGGGCACCATCACAGGATAGACCCTTCACACCGCCCTCCTGCGCCCTGGGTGCTGGACACTTAGACGCCTTGCTGCCGAGGCCGGGTGGTTGTCTGCGGAGGCCAGCCAGGAGACTACAAGCAAAAGATGCAACACCCGCGGCTCTTCCCCTCCCCTCTCTGGCTGGGGCTGGATCCCCGTGGCCCGAGATCAGGGCGTCATCCCAAATGACACCCACCGCCTCCAGATTCTGCCAATCCCTGGGCACGCCAGGCAGACGTGCTGGGGCGGGGGGCGGGGGAGCCCCCCGCCCCTCCTTCTGGTTAGCGTCACAAGTGACGTTACACGTGATGGGTGGGAGGGCGGTGGCGGCGACGTGCGGAGAGGAAGGCGGGTCTGAGAGCTGCAGAGCCCAGGAGCCCAGGAGCCCAGGAACGTGAGTGCTTGGGTGGGGTTCTTGGTCAGGCGAGTTGGGGGTCGAGGGCTGGGTGTCACAGAGGGAGACCTGCCTTCTCTGTCCTGTCCTGATTCAGAATACTCGTCTGTGGGAAGGTCCATGCAGCAAGAGGAGATGTTGGTTGGGGGAAGAATGCCAGGATGCTCTGTGGTCACACATTCAAGTGTCTGTAACTGATGGATATGGGCTGAGTGGTATGTGTGTGTGTGTGTGTGCGTGCGCGCAAGTAACGGTATTTGTGGGCCAGTGTATGCAGGGCGTGTCCATTCTGTGTGTATGTCTGTGTAGGGTATGATGGTGTCTTTGTGTGTGGGTATGTGAATGTGAGTGTGTCAGAAAGGGGAGGGTGTGTTTGCCTGTGAGGGAGGAAGTGCAGTTGAAAAGGATTAGTCATTCTGCAGGATTTTGCCCAGCGCAGCCAGATGGCTGTTTCAGGCTTTCCTCTCTGTGCTGGGTGGAGAGGGCACTTACAGAATCCTGCCCCTTTTCTGGAGGTAGGTGGCTCAGGGTAAGGACTGGGGCTAGAAGTGGAAACATGTCTGTGCCAGCTTTGCCCAGCTGGGGAACAAGGAAAGCCTCCGGACATTCAGTGTGGATTGAAAACACACACACACATCCCCCCTCCACACACACACACACACACACACACCCCCTACACACACAGCTGGTATCAGAGTTCCTGTTTGAGATCTGGAATAGATAAACTCTGGGGTGGCCCGTGAGCTCCTGTTCTCCTCCAATCAGGAGCTAGGATGTAGGATGGCTTATGCCATGTTTCCAAACAGCCTTGGGAATTTGCATACAAGGTCTCAGGGCAGCTGGTGCCTAAAAGTGACATGAGCATGAATGTAGAATGCATATAATATGCATTTTTGTGCATACAGAGCACAAGAGTAGCCACATGGGATTAGTCGCTGCTCATGCATCAACCACGCACATGTAAATCCTCACTTGTGAAAATCTGCACCAAGCCAGAGTGCAAGATCTGTTTTCCCAGTTCTGATTCCTCCCCTCCCCACCCACTCCCCAGGTTCCTCCAGTGGTGGCAGATCCCTGGGCCAGGACTTTGCCTAGAAAATAGCTCCTCCCCCACTGTCACTTACCTATCTGGAGTCACCTTGATCTCTAGAAGGGATTGGTGACAGGCCCTGGGACCAGGGCAGGGCCACCAAAGGCTCTCCCAGGTAGAGCCCTTGGATCCACTCTTTGGAGTCCTCTGACTCTGGTCCCTGCCTTACAGAAAATGGGTGAGTTGCCTTTAGATATCAACATCCAGGAACCTCGCTGGGACCAAAGCACTTTCCTGGGCAGAGCCCGACACTTCTTCACTGTTACTGACCCCCGAAATCTCCTGTTATCTGGGGCACAGCTGGAAGCTTCACGGAACATTGTGCAGAACTACAGGTGACTCCCTTCCTCATCTTGACCCTGTAACCCAGGATCTTATTCCCTGCCATTAATACAATACCTTTTGCACTTGTCTCCCCAAGCTTGGGAGTGACCCTGTCCCACCCTTCACTCCCTGGCCCTACCTATTGGAATCACAGAAAACAATGGCACAGAGCTTTAATCTGAAAGATTTTAGGGTGTTTGGGTTTAGGAGGTAGCACTGATATTTATGGGTAGGGGCCTGCTCTATGCCTCACAAACCCTGTACAGGGACCCATCCCACTGCTGGGCCACCATCTGCAAAGACAGAGAGGCTCAAAGTTGATAAAGAGGTAGGAAGGCTTCCCCCTTGTCTCCAGGAGGAAAAACCCTTGCAATACCCCTAGCCATTTTTGACCCATTGGAAACCACCATTACTCATGATTCAGTATTTGGGCAGAAATTCAGGGGCACCCCTCTTTGTGTGACTAGAGAGAAATAGAAATAGATGTCGGAAGCCAGCCGACCAAGTCAAACCGGGTACCTGAATGGGGGAGCGGGGACTGAGAAAAAAGAGAAGACAGACAGGGTGCAGGAGGGAGAACAGATCTCACAACTGTCTCTCCGAGTTTATTTCTTATCCTTCTTTTAAACACAATCTGTTCCTTTGTGTATCCCAAAATAACATAATAAAAGTAACATCCTGAAGATCCAGGTACAATTGACACTTCCTTTGACACTCCCTTCGACACTCCCTTCAACACTCCCTTTGGCTATACTTAATCTTCTTCCTGGAATTCCACAGAACCAGCCTTTTCTTTTTTATGCAAGCAGGCCTCCTGAGATAATCCATGCACTCTTTTGAATTTGGGGAGCTTTAGCTCCCTACAAATAGAAGCACTTCCCCGCTTTCTGGGAAGATTTGATTCTCTCGCAGAGACAAGGAGCTCCTTTATTCTGAGATTGGGGACCAAAATGATTGGTCCTCTGCCCAGACTTCCCCTGAGTCAGGTGGGCAGGGCTTGGGTGGTCAATCTGCCCCCTAGAATTGCCTGTCTGCTCCCTGCTAACCTCTGCAGGGCTGGCGTGGTGACACCAGGGCTCACTGAAGACCAGCTGTGGAGGGCCAAGTATGTGTACGACTCTGCCTTCCATCCAGACACGGGGGAGAAGGTGGTCCTGATTGGCCGCATGTCAGCCCAGGTGCCCATGAACATGACCATCACGGGCTGCATGCTCACCTTCTACAGGCAGGTCCTGACCTGTGTGTCCTCTCCCTAGTACTCTGTCCAAGCTAGAGCATAGCTTGATGACTAGCTGCTTCCTCTCTGGGCCAGTGTGGGCAGAAAATAGTGGATAAGTGACAGTTTGTGTTAGAATCCCTTCCATTCCTTAGAACTCAGCCTTGGAGATCCCAGAGACATTGAGTGTGTTTATGTAAATGGGGACGGTCATGCAGAGGTCACCAGAGCAGGATCTAGGGTCATCATTTGGGTTCCTCTTGAAGGTTTGGGAATAACCTTTGGGGTTTCATTATCAGGGTCCAAGGATGAGGGACACTGTAGAGGGGGCAGAAGTAAATGTCTTTGTTCCCTCAGGAAGACCCCAACCGTGGTGTTCTGGCAGTGGGTGAATCAATCCTTCAATGCCGTCGTTAACTACTCCAACCGCAGTGGCGATGCTCCCATCACTGTGGGGTGAGAGCTCATCCCCAGAGACTCTTCTCCCTGCCCACCACTGTTTCTCCTGTTGTCTCCTGTTCCCCAGTGGCTCATGTAGCAAGTGGCTCTCTGCCCCCTTCTCAGCCTGCCTCCCTCCCCACTATCCTGGCCTGGGGGCATGGGACCCTCTTGTGTATGCTTTGGGGGACCCATTCTTCTTCAAGGGGAGGGGTTAGGGCTTCCAGACAAGTCTACACTAGAGCACATTAGGCGTTTCTCTGCAATGAGGCCGCCCTCCCACGCCTCCTTGTTAAAGATTTGGCATGTCCCTGAAGGAAAGAGCCACATGCTAAACAGTTCACCTCCCACCTTGTGTCCTGGCTTTTCCATCCACAGGCAGCTAGGAACAGCTTACGTGAGTGCCACCACCGGGGCTGTGGCCACAGCCCTGGGACTCAAATCCCTCACCAAGGTAAAGTGCCCCTCCCATTCTACTGGTCCCCAGTCATCCTTTATCCACCTCCTTCCCTGTCATTCCTCCACCCTGACATATACGCCCCCATAACTCTCCCCAAAGTTCCTCATCACCCGGTGGCCCTCATGGCCACTAAATGACATCTTTCCTCCCCCAGCATCTGCCCCCACTAGTTGGCAGATTTGTGCCCTTTGCAGCTGTAGCAGCTGCAAACTGCATCAACATCCCTCTGATGAGGCAGAGGTGAGTGGCCCCAACTCCTGGTCTATGCACGCCCAGTGTCCATGTGGGTGGGCATACCATCCAGCTGTGGGGACTAACCAGAGCGGGGACTATCCTCTCCTACCCTGAGCATGAGCTGCTGGGTCCAATCTCAGTCTGACACTGGGATCTGGGGTAGGAGAACCAGCTTTTGAATCTAGGATGTCTGAGGGGACCCCAGGGAATAGCTGCCCATGAAGGCATTTCAGGTAGGATTTGGGGCCTGTGATCCAATCCTCACCCTCTTGCCTTCTCAGGGAGCTACAGGTGGGCATCCCAGTGACTGACGAGGCAGGGCAGAGGCTTGGCCACTCGGTGACTGCGGCCAAGCAGGGAATCTTCCAGGTGGTGATATCGAGAATCTGCATGGCAATTCCTGCCATGGGTGAGGCAGGGGTGGCTGGCCGGGGCATGGGAGGCTCTGAGAACATGGGTGCAGTTCTTCAGGGGTTTTGAGGACTCTGGGGCCATAAGACTCCAGAGAGACTTGGGAGGAACTGTAAAGGGGGAGTCCTCTCCCTAAGGATCCCAACTTTCACACCATTAACTCCATCCCTCCCTGCCCTGCTCTTCCCTCAGCCATTCCCCCCGTGATCATGGACACTTTGGAGAAGAAAGACTTCCTGAAGGTAGGTCACTCTCACCTCTCCTATCTTGGAAGCAGTGGTTCCTGGGAGCAGAAGTGAGTCCCCAAATCCCTTTCCAGCCTGACTTGAGTCTAAGATTTGCCACCTTTTTGCCCCCTCCCCCTTCATTCATTCAGCAAGAATGAATTGGGCTGGGGTAAAGGAACACTGAGAGAATAGGAGGAGCAGATAAGGGAAGGAATGAAATGGTTTCTATCCTGAAGGAAATTGGTGTCACTCCAGAGGCCTCTGACACACACCAGGGATGTACTATCATAATCACACTTGCTACCATACTTATGCTGTCACCTATTAACAACAGTGAGACACACACACATGCACAAACAGGACAAGAAAGCAAGGCCCAGCAGCACAAGCTCTGGCTCATTCATTGGACCATTTATTCACAAATTTTTATTGAACACCAACTATATGCATTGGAAGAACAGAATGGTGGTCCCTATAGCTGGAGCGAATCGAAGAAAGGTATGTAGAGCAGGAAATATACGTGGAAAAGGACAAATTCATGACACTGGGATGGGGGGAGATGCGTGGAGGGTCAGAGGAGGCTTCCTGAAGAAAACAGCTTCTGGAGGAAATGAGAGACGAGAAAGAGGGGCAGGGAGTGCCATGGGAACCAATCTGAGAGACCAGATGGGTCATGGGACACGAGGGAGAGGGTCAGCAAACAGGCCTGGTGGAGTGGAAGGTGGTTCTCTGGAGGCCCCAACCCTCTTTTAGGCTTAGGAGAAAGAAAAAGGCCACAAATCAGAGGGTCAGAGGCACGGCTGGTGGGATAGAGGTGTGGTGGGTGAAATAGAGTGAGGGCAGAGGGCAGGGACACTTGCCATTCCATTGTCTCTGTCTCCCCACAGCGCCGCCCCTGGCTGGGGGCACCCCTGCAAGTGGGACTGGTGGGCTTCTGGTAAGTGTGCAGGGAGTTAGCAAGGGTATGTGGGAGTGCCCTTTTCATAGTGGACATAGGCAAGTATTTATTGCTTTTAAGATGTTTATGTACATCGTTAATTTATACATTGAGCATCTGGGGGTCTTGGACACCCCTAGGGCACACTGTGTGTGTTAGTTATCAGGTAATCCCTGTCCTTGAAGGTCAGGCCTAGTTGAAGCGGTTCCAGTCTTCGTCTATAGAAGGAAACCATGAAAATGTGCCTTTTGGTACCATCCAGGAGTTTCATGCACACTGAATTCCTGATTCTCTCTCTCTCTGGCTGTGATGCTCTGGAGGTTCTTTCTTCAGCCAGAACCTAATGTCAGTGTTGGCTTTAATTAGTCTCCACCCCTAGGGGCAGTCTCTAGAAATAGGGTGGTGTGCAGGGAGGGAACACCCTTAAACCAAAGCTTCACAGACCTTTCCAACATTCTTCTCCCCAGCCTGGTATTTGCCACCCCCCTGTGCTGTGCCCTGTTTCCCCAGAGAAGGTAAGTGTTGCCCTTGGACTTGGCCCTGAACAGGTCTCCTCATCGCTGGAACCAGCTGATTTTAGGGTCCTTCAGTGTGCTCCCAGAAGAGGCCTGGCAGGCACTCAGCTTATTCTTGGGGTGGGAGAATGACAGTGATCTGGACCTTCTGGCCTTTAACAGAGAAGTTTCTTCATCTTGGGAGGAGGGATGGTGATCCCTTGGCCTGAGGGGTGTTGGGTTCAGGGGACAAGCCTGCCTGTGCTATTCTTTTGTAGCTCCATACACGTGAGCAGGCTGGAGCCAGAACTGAGAGCCCAGATTCATCAGCAAAACCCCAGCGTTGAAGTGGTTTACTACAACAAGGGACTGTGAGGGAGGGTCACTCTGGCCCCTCCCTCACCTCCTTGAGCCGCTGTGTTTGTGGAGCCTTGCCATCCTGCCACTCTCTTTTGCCTGGTACTGGGCAGGGGGCTTAGTGGGGAATAGCTATTGAGACCAGCAATTCATTAGGCTGGGGAAGGTACTCGCATAAGCCTTTTTCTCTCCTCTCTGATTTCAAAGAGCAGCATCACGTAATCCCTTTCTCCTGTGCTAGTGTGTCTGTGTATATACCTATGTGATACATGTGTGTACATGTTGTTCTGGAAGCTAGGAGCAGACATTCTGTCCTGGGATGTCCTGATATCTGGCTTTTCCACTTGGCCTCCTGCCACCTTCCAGCCAGCCAGACTACACAACATCCTTGCCTAAACAGTGCTACGGGCCAAGTCATTTCTGACAGCACCTCTCCCCTTCTGGACATAGAAGGAGCCCCAGGATTTCAGGACAGACTGAGGGACACTAGCAGACCAAACTGAACTGAATCCTTCAGATTTCTGCTAACTGGCCCCCAAAGCTGACTCAGGGACTGGGCTGGCAAAAGAAGACATGTCAGGCTAAGAGAGGAAGGGGGCTTATACATCCCCCACATCCCAGAATAAATCATTTCCTCTCCTCTTCTTTGCCAGAGCTAAGGGGTATCTGGGCTCTTGCCATCTTCCCTTCCCAGTTCCCCCACTGCAATGTGGGCATCTTCAGGCACCATCCTAGGAGTTCTTGGTCCTCTCTGACATCATAATATCAAATCTAAACCTATAATCCCGACCTTCTCCCTCAACCAAAAAACCACTAAGGCAGAGAAACATTCCCCTTTAAGAGCTCCCACCACAGCCTCTTAGAGGGGACACAGCTATAGAACGGTGCTTACATTCCACAGGTATCTGAGTGGGTGTAATTAGTACACTCTCAAGGCAACTAGGCCCCACATATACAACCTTAAGACAGGGAATTTTGTGTTCCATTGGCCCTTGTTAGGCATTCAGCAGAACCCCCACCTTAGCTTCTCTTTCTTGAGGCTTGGCCCTGTTCCTACCCCCATCACCACCCCCGAAGGAAGAGGGGCCCAGGCATCAAAAGCTGGTTCAAAGGGGAGGTGGTCCTGGGGATGGAGCATGTGCTGGTAAACTCAGAGAGAGTAGAGTTGGAACTTGACTTCAACTCCCATGACCTCTGGCTGAAGTAGAGTTGAAGGCACCAAAGGGGTCTTCTAAGAGCACTTTCCTGCTCCCCCAGCCAACCGCCACCAGTAGTAAAAGCTATGATGCCATTGTTGCTCAATAAACTGGAAACCTGTCTACTTCTTGATCTTCATTTGATTCTATATTGTGAGTGCTCAGGAAGAGCCACCCGCCTGTGTGGCCTTCCCTTCTCTCCCCACAAGGTCCAGGTCTGTCTCTTCCCTCCCCTCCTGTAGGGAGCCTCAGCTCTCAGCAGAGGGCGCTCTGAGATGAGAAAATCAGTCCTGCATCAGCACCTTCAGTACTCAAGTTTAGGGGATGTAAAGGGGATGTAGATGGATGCCTCCACCTTCTATTCGCTCAGCAAATGGAGCCCTGGCTTCATTTCCATCTTCAGGGGTGCGGGGTGGGGAGATGATCACACACCTACATACCTACTCAGGTTCTGAGCTTCTTGGTTCCCTTCAGACATTTGACATGGAGTGGTGGCCTCTGGTGCCCAGGGAAGCCTCTGCATAGAGGAAGGCTCGAGAGCTAAGTACTGCCCAGCTTCATGAGAGGGAAGTTGTTAGGCACCAACACACCCTCCACCCTCCTCTATGCCCCCATTGATACTACGTGGGAAAAAGTCTGGCAGGGACCATTTGCTGCTCAATATCCCTTTCTCCCACCCCCAGGGCCCTCCACTCCTTCCCTGCTTATGTAAATGACCTCCCCCTTTTGTTTTCTGGCAAAAATTAGGCCAAAAGTTCATGCCTATGTACATCTGGTGACACCCACTACTAAACAGTTTATATTGCCTCTCACACCCTAAGCCTTGGCTTTGGAAGCTTCAAAAGAATAAATATGAATGAATCTATAACAAAATCCATTCCCTACTCCCTGCGGGAAATACCTTACATCTCCCTTTGTTCAACCCAAAGCTCTCACACTAGGTGGTGGGGAGAAATCTTTAGGGCTGAATGGTCCTATAGCAGCCTGAAGTGAACCTGCTACCTTGGCCAGGGCTCCTTCCCTCCTCTTGGGAAGTAGAAGTTTACTTGTATGGGTAGTAGGAGTGACACCAGCTACTGTTCATTGAGTCCTACTGTGTGGTTCCAGACTTAATGAAGCAAACTGCTTTAAGTCTATTATCTCTCTTGATTTTCACAACCATTCCTGTGAGGCCAGACATGTTATGTCCATTCTTAGCAAAGACACAGGCTTAAAGATTAAAGAATTAAGATTAAGAAATTTCTTAAAGATTAAGAAATTACCCACAGCTACACAACTAAGAGGAGATAGAGCCAAGATTCAAGTCGAGCTCTGTATTACTGAAGCCACTGTGCTGTGCTGCTTTCTCACCTGCCAGCTGCCAGCCAAACTTGAAGTCATGTTCCTAGTCCCTCTGACATTCCAGGCCAGCAAAACTGACAGGCCTCAAGTGTACACAGACCTTTCTACTAAAGCCACTGAAGACTGTCCAAGCATGAGGGTTTTATAGCTGAAGGAGTATAAGCAAAGATTTCCATTCTTGATTAAATAGATAACCAGTTTCATTTCCGTCCTGTCCTGCCGATCTGGACCAGTGCCTCCCACCAAGCCCACTGGAGCCCTGGATCAACTCTTAAAACCTGCTGCAGTAACAGCTTTGGCCTTTGGTAATGCTCTTGAAAAGAGACCTTGCAATTTTACTGGAAAATCTCTAAGATAAATCCACTTGGGGGTGAGGTGCAGCACTCTCTGAAAAAAAAAAAAAAAAGAACATTTTATAACAGAATTATTTGAGCTTTGCAGATAACACTGAACCATGTCGGAGAGAAGACTGGCCAGGGCACCAGTGGGCCAGTTAGGAAATGTTTTCCTGCCATCTTTCGTTCTTATTTCCATACCTGCTTCTCAAAGCAAAAAAATTAGCTTTAGGCTAACTTCACAGGCTCTATAGAGGCAAATCCTAGTTAGGTACATTTTCCAAAATGCCTCCACGTACTTAGATTTTTCCTTGGAACTCAGCATTTGAGCACAGGGTATCTATCACTCCTCACTGCAAAGTAATCTGCCGCATTCTTGGGCCTCCTCTCATCCTCCTTGTGTTCAGACTATAGGAAACTTCTCTGGAAGCCTGCATCTGTGTCCTTGGCGTCCCTCCCCTGCCTTTCACTCTTCTGGCCTCATCTGCTTCAGAGCCCCCACCCTGCCCACTATTAAGAAAAACCACAACTCTCCCTCTCTCGCAACATACGGTCAAAGGAGGAAAATGGCTTTGGTCTAGAGCCCTGGCTTAGCCTGACCACAGGAAGGAGGCTAAGTAACCTCTTTTCCCCGGTCACTGGAACTAATGAGGCTGGCATCTCAGGGACAGGTTAGTCCCTAGTGGTTAGGGCCAGCTTCAGGTCCGGCTCTGCGGACTAGCCTAGTCCGCTGGATCGGTACCCCAAGGGTTAAAGCCAAGCCCCACCATTTCTTCCCGGTAGAGCTTGCCCACTGAAGCCAGCCCCGCCCCTGGGTCTGTCAGTCACAGGTAAGTTACGCCCCTCTAGACTTAGCCTGTCAGGAGCATGGTCTCTGTCAGTCAGGCTCGCTCCACCTCCTCGTCTCCTAGGCAACGGCTTTAGCGCCACAGACCTAAAGACAATTCATCTTTCCTACCTGAGCCCGAAACCTCCGTCTCAGATCCACTTCCTGGGTAACCTCGGTCCTGGGCCGCTAAATCCGCCAAGTCCTCTTACTCTTTTCCAGTTTCGAAGCCGACGAGCGCCTCAGTGCCCGCCCTTTGACTTCCTGCCCGGAAATCCGCGAGGTTTTCAAGGAGTCACGCGAGGCCTCTCCTGGGTCTCGTGGCCGGATTTTTTCAGCGGCTTCCGGAGCCATTGGTCCTGCCTTTTGCGCGGTCCGCCCCTCTCCCTCTCTCCGCCCTCGCATCCTCTGTTCTGGAAACGTTTACTGAACTCTGCTAAGAGAAGCTCTGTACCAGGCACTGGGCAGAAATCGCAGGTTGGGTGAACAGAGACCCTTCCCACAGGACACGGCCTGTGCCCAGCAGTCATTAAGGCGCCCCTCCAAGTCCCCTCTTTGTCGAAGTCACCCCCTCGTTGCTGTGATCTCGGGTCCTCATGTGGGGGCAAACTTTGCTAGAAATTATAGCAGAATTTTGACCCGGTTGGATCATTTCCCAAGAGAGAGCTTCCTGGGTTTCTCCCTTCTTTCTTTCAATATACACATATCTTTTTCCTCACTGGTCGTCTCAGCAAAGCCTGTCAGAGGGAAAATGGCACACTCAGCTCGGGGCCACAGCTCCTCTAGCTTCCTCTTTCCAGTCTTCTCAGACCAGCGAAGTTTTGCAACTGAATAACGACCAGGAGACTGTGGGAGGAACCCTGCACAGTTTGGGGGCTACACACACAACCCTTTCCTCTTCACCCCCCAACATATCCAGTAGGAAAATAACCAGTGCCTGGAATAAGCAACGAGCCGCTCCTTCAGGGTGAAGAGTTTGCTTATAGAGCAAGAATTTGCCATGTTAATGTATAAATTAGCCAGTGAATCACCTATATTATTTTCTGACTGAAGACTCCCCCATCATCAGCAAGTCCTCAACTGACCACCTTAATTTTATTTATTTATGCATAATTATGAAAACAATCGTATTATTTCCCACCATACTCTGTTAAACTTGCTTTGTGAAAATTGACAACGTTTATTTCCCAGAAAGAGAAAGTCTGGTTTAATTTTAATTGAAGTTATTTTGTGAAAAACAGCAGAGAATAATTGTGACTAGCTTCAGTAAATAGAGGGATGTACTGGAAGGATTTATTGCTCGCTCTGAGAACCAAACATGGAGCTAACTAACTTGGCCTTGGAAAGTGCAGGAAGTTGGGAAACTCTGGGGACTTCAGTAACTGGAGTTTATGGCCACTGCCATTAAAGTACAGCTTCAACCAGCCGCAGCCTCCAATCTCTCCATTCAAGTTTCAAAACTGGTACAGTTTTGATCAGTTGTCTACCCCTAGGAGGTGGCCAGAGGTCAGTGTTAAGTTGCAAGAATACTGGACATCATTACTTCAGGTCCACCTCTGTGGCTGGGCCTGTTCCTAAAGTAGAGCAGTTGTTGTGAGCTGAAAAATCACCCTGATTGGTATTTATGGCAATATGTATTATTACTGGTCCTATACAGTTGATTCTCTCCAGTTTAAATAAAAACCTTCCTGAGGGCAGGCACCATATCTTTACTTTTTTTCTAATTGTGATTAAAAAAAAAACACACACATAACATAAAATTTATCATCGTAACCATGTTTAAGTGTACAGTTCAGTGGTATTAAGTATATTCATAAACTTGTGAAACAGATCTCCATAACTTTTTCATCTTGCATATCCGAAACTCTGTACCTATTAGGCAACTCATATCTTCACTTTTATGTGCCCACAGCACCTATAATAGTGTCTGATCCACAGCATGTACTCAATACATGTTTGCTGAATAAATGAATGTGGAATCCAAAAGTGCCCTAAACTCCACTAGTCCTAGGTAAGGTCACTAACATAGTGGCTCTTGATTTGTTTTACTCCTCAGGAAACCTTTAAAATTTGTGACATATTCATAACAGAAGCAATGGCTGTCAGCTTTAGTGATTTTCAGCCTGGAGGATGGGAGAGCATGTCCTCTCAGGGGGGCATATCAAAATCTTGGGGGGAGTATGGCTTAAAAAGTCCCCCAGGCAAAGTGAAACTTGTCCCCAGATATGTCCCTACATAGGATGGCCAGCAAGAGAAGGAGCTTAGCCCTTTCTATTCTGTGTCTCCCTAAGAGTCCCAAATGCAGGGGGGTGAGGGAGAGAGTGTCTCACATGTAATCAGAGCCACTGTCTCCAACCCTGTTGTCTGCCTGCTTCCCTGCACTTGTCAATGCCTTTTCCCTTTGGCAGTTAGTTCCCTGTGATGCTTATCTACCCTCCACCTCTGCAGCTTCTGAGGCTAGCACTGAGCTGCCATCATTTAAGGCATGCTGAAAGGGAGATACCTTCACCCCTTCACCTTATTCTTGTCCAGTTCTTATTGAATGGCCTCATTTCTTGGGCCTCCGGCGATATAGTTTTATTTGTATAATTTCCTTTCCAGGACACCAAGGCACAGTGAGGGTGCTGGGTAGTGGTGATGTAAAATTAAGCATCACCCTACAATATACCTGGAAGCATTGCTTTTTATGATACTCAAGCCTTCTGAGTCTGGTTCATCTTGCTGGACTTGCTCATTATTGCTAGTGATTTTCTTTCAGGGCCCCATTTCTGCAAGCTGGCTTCCAACACCTGACCCCCCATGCTGTTGGACTCCCTTGCTTATATCTTATCCCCGAGTTGTGGATAAAATACAAGTTATTTTCCATTGGCCAAATCAGATGACCTCTATTCAATTGTCCCAAACATTCCAAAACCACTAAAGAGGTTTGTTGCAAAAGGAAAACAGGCAGACTTCCTAAATCTGCTGTTTCCAAAATGTGTACTGAGGCACCCCAGACTGCCACAATGAAATCACAGGACATTTTAAGTTTTTGAGGGAAACGCATCCCAGCGGTACTTGACATCTGTTGGACACTGCACAAACTGCTAGCTCAAACTCAGTTTCAAAATTAGATTATAGTATATTACTTTCCATGTCTTTGCAAAACTGGGTTTTTGATGGTTGCTGTGACAGAAAAGCAAGAACTACATAGAAGTCAGTGTGAAACTGGAAATGAAGGTAGCGGTATCCAGGCTGAACCAAAGTTTTGAAAAATTATGCAGAGCCCAACTGGCACACACGTCCTGTTAGTAAGTAACTGAGATTAAGAATGATATAAAAACATTCTTTTTTTTCCTTCCAGTTTATGTGTATTAGTTTTTCAAACAGCTACAAGGGAGTTAGGACATAAATATTAAGTTGTCTGGACCTAAGTACTTAAAGGGAACTGTTAGATATTTATTTTGACCTAGGATTCTGTGACAAAATTACTGAAAAACTAAGGCTTCCATGAATGTAGAAAGTTTGGGATACCCTGCCATAAATGTATGAAGAAATGAAAAAATGAGGGAATAGTACTGGCTTGTATTTGGGTCTCACACCTGCCCTGTGTAAACTCACAGGTGCCATGCCTTTGCAGGAAAATTTCTCTTTTTTAAATTCTTGATAATTCCGTCTGGGAAGTTCTAACCTTGTTTCAGTGACCCAGGTTTTTCACAACGTGATCAGAGGGTGGTAGAGGGTCCCTAGGGACTGGGGTTGGTGGTGGTGATTGGAAGCCAGAACTGAGTTGGCCGGTCCAGCTCAGAAGAAAAGGAGAGAATAGAAGCTGAGGACAGTAGGGTCCCTCCCTGCCTCTAGGCTCTGCTCTGTGTCTCTGGCTGGGCTGCACGGTAGCTGTGTCTCCTTAGTAAACTCCAAATCCAGAATGGTCCCACAGTACGCCCCCTGGAGGCCAAAATGGGTCCGTTGGATGTGACTAACGCCACTGGAAACCCGGGGGACTTTGAGCCCCCTGTCCCATGGAAGGGGTGGGCGGCTGCCGCTGTGGCCCCATGCAGGTCTGTGCTTCTCCCTTCTTCCCCACCCGCATCCTCAGGTGACTGGCGGGCGCCTTCCCGGCGCTAAGACGGCTGAACCCGCGGGTCCCTAGCTCCCAAGCTCATACATTAAAGATGCGGAGGCTCCCGGACTGCGGTGCCACAAACATGAAGACAAATTTTTAATCCCGAGCAAGAAGATGCCGGGAGATGGGGGACGCAAAAGAAAAATGAATTAGGTTTTTATTATGTGTTTTATTATGCTGTAATTGAACAGGGTTAGGTGAGAATACAATATATTTCTGATGCGGCTGGAAGCGGGAGGGGGCGGGAGAGAGGCTGACTGCAAGCGAGAGACTGCGAAGCTCAAGGAGAAGCGGGGGCTCCAGAACGCAGCGGATCCCAGGGGAAGGCAGAGGAGCGGCGCCGACCCAGCTGTGGGCCCAGCAATCCCCTCTCCCCCGCCTCCGGCAGTTTGGTTGAGGATGGAAGGGTAGGGGGGATGCACTTGGAGAAATGGGTTAGCGACAGGTCCTGCTAGCATATATACTGGAGGAGGGGACGGGCTTGAGAGTTGGAAGTCGTGGGGCTCACAAACCCGCTCCAAGAAGGAAAACTGAGTCATAGAGGGGAAAGATAGCGACTATGAAAAGACAAGGCTCTCTGGAGTCATTGAAGTTCCAGAGGCCCACGAAGTTACATTGGCTCCCAACATCTCCCCACTGCACACGTCGGGTACAGGCCTTGTAACAGCACACATTGGGGCGCCCACTTTCTGCTCTCGCTTATTGCAGGGATACCGGGGCCCTCAGACATTCCCCCTCTCCCCGTATACTGCCCAACTCTTGTCACCTCTGAAAAGATCTATGCTGATGCAGGTCTAATCCAGCATTCACCACCCCAGCACTACGCTGCCAGGAGGCTTTCTCTGGTAAAGGGCACCCAGGTGAGCCCTGGGTTGGGCTGTTGGACCGGAAATGGGCAAACCGTCCTCTCGTCCCTGGGACCGCCTCTCTCCCCCAGGCTCGCCTCTGGGTCTGCCCCAGCCCGACAGCTTCATTAAGGGCTGCCGCCTGCTCAGCGTCTCACCTGCTGCAGCGCCCCTCGCGCCCCGCCAGGGACCCGCTCCTGGCGGTGATGAAGAGGCCCATTAGCCGCTTCTACCTTTAGGGCGGACTGGGCTGCTCTCCCCACCTCCCAATTAGGACATTAGAAACCGTCAACCAAGATTAATAGTTGCCCGGCTCCGGGGCAGGGAGATGAGCCCAGATACCACAGCAGAGCCGCTTGCTCTGCGCGGGCCAACCTGGTGCGGGACTGATGCATCACCTGCTTCAGCCACTCCTCCCTTCGCCTCCTTTTCTGGCCTCTGGGCACACCTGAGGTTCTCAGATGAGCCCCACACGGTGTTGGGCATGTCAGAATCCTATTTTCTGCTGAGTCTCAGACCCAGGCGTGTTCCAAGGCAAGGCGAGTGAGGGAGGAAGGTGAGCCCTCTCTAGAGTACTCTCCCAGCTTACCTCGGGCCTGAGTGAAAGACTTCTGATCTTAAAAGAAGGAATGACCATTACTTTCTCGGAGAGACGTCCTTAACCTCTTCTCCTCCAAGTCAGTTCTCCACTTATTCGCGCTGATTGCTTCCTGTCATATTTTTCAGTATATGTACCATATGCGTGCTTTTACCTTTATTCATGTGATTGTGACATTGATGTCTGTCTCCCCCACTGGACTGTGGGTTCTAGAGGGAAGGGACCATGGTTTTGCTCAGCATGGGCTCTGCAGCACCTTCAGTAATTGTGAGTTGAATAAATGAGTGGGCGACAGGCTTGTGGTTTTTTTTTTTTTTTAAACATTTGCTTCCTGTGCTAGCTCCCCATCCCTTTCTTAAACACCCTCATAGCACCTGTATTCATATCATAATTGTAACTTATTCATTATTTCTGTGATTATCAGTTCAGTGTCTTCTCCTCCTTGAAGCCAGAAGTTCCAGGCGGGTGGGCAAGGGCTGGGCACACAGCTGCATCCCGTCCGCCAGCTGAGAGCTCAGCACTTAGTCCATGGGGTTATAATGTGTGAAGGCTCAGCTATCTCAGGAGCCTTAGATATCTTCAACTCTCATTCTTTTGAGCATTCCATGGCCTGAAGAGGCAAAATGACTTGTCTGAGGTCATACAGCCAGCTAGAAGCAAAGCTAGAACGAAAACTTTTCTTTCCAACACAGAGATTTTTTCTCCAAAGGTCACATCATCTGGGACTCTGAGGAAGCCCCTTTTGAATTCTGAGGTTTCCAAGTCTTGGGGAGTATGGGGGGGGTGGTCCCAGGTATCTCTTCCTTTGGTGATGGAAGTCACCAAGAAGTAAGTGTTTCATCTCCATACAGGAGTTTGGGGCCCAGAGGCTCCCTATACTGTGTCAATAGGGGTAAATTCTTTCTATTAAGTCTCTAGTTTCTCTTCCTTGGATGTAAAACTAGGAGAGCCTCACCTCCTCAGCCCTGGAAGGATGTGAATTGTCTCTGATCTCTCCTCCACCCACCACTTAACCCCATGCTCCCCATCAGGGAAAAATAATTATTTAGGAGCAGAAAATGAGGGAAACTACAGAGGAAGTGCTAAGACGGAGAGAATGGGGACTTAAGCTCTTCCTCCATCTCATCACACTCCTGGTGTCACCTCTCTAGACCCACTTACGCTAGGGGGGAGGTGGAGGGACTG